GAGGGTAAAGGGAGGGGCCATGGTATTAAACAAACAACAGAGAAGTTTTGTTGGTTTTTTCTCTTGCTATAGATGATTTTTCTATAATAAAGAAACATGGAGATTGGGGAGGGTAGAGTTATACCCTGTGCTTCATCAGATGCACCTCTATCTTATGAATGCCTCGGAGTAATGAATACCATATGTACTCGGATGCAAGATCTGCCTGCCTTCCCTAATAATTTGAATCAATCTATCACGGGCAAGTCTAGGATTTTGAAAAGGGTGGTGCAGATCGTGTGGTTTATCATCCTATAACAACATATTTTTCTCCAGTTAAAAAAAAAAAAAAAAAAACCTAGATGCTGTCATTTGCTAGGGGCCTAGTGCTATATTGTTTAATTTAATATCAAAGAAGAAATAAGTGTTCAACTAAGCTGCTGGATAATGTATTAAGGTTAAAAAATACAACAAACTAGGCAAAATAGTGAATGTACAATTTCATTAATCCTGTAGTCATTTCAGTTAAATGTACATTTCTTATTCAGATCTGTAAAACGCACTAAGTTTTGAGGGTTGTGACCAATGCATCCAATACTTAACTGTCAGCCACTTCAACACCGGAGTTAACGTTCACCCAAGTTAACATTACCATTGCTGAGTTGAGGTTCTAGCTGGAGTTGAAAATAGCCTGCAGGGCTATGAAGGACATTACTAGGAATGGGATACAGAAGGACATTACTAGGAATGGGATACAGGCAGCAGAATTACAGAAGAAAGTGGAATAGTGGAACATCCAGGATATAATCAACACTTGTTACAAAGGAGAATGGAGTGAAGCAATTAGCAGGAATTGGATTACAAAGAGCTGTTAAGTCAGTTGACTCCCACAGTGCTGTCTGAATAGAAGTGCCGCTGCCTCTTCCAGGCAGTTCATTTTAAAGTTATTGGTTAGAGCAAGAATTGAACCAAAGGGAGGGTACAGCTGCACCTCTTCCAGATGTACCTCTGGACTCTATACAAGGAAAATTTTGATGTTTTTCCATATATAATTATTGGAGAGTTGTTTTCCCTCTTCCAACCTCTCCTTTTTTTAATTCATCCCCACTTCTTGCTGCAGTGGAGGATTCAAGTAGCCTATCCCTTGCTGCCTGCACCTCCCTCTTCCCCCTCTACCCTGGCCACTACTTGTCCACTGTGCCACCACTTACCCTGTCTTGCAGCTCTGGCTCCAGCCCTACTCTGGCTTGGAACACATAGTGACTCTTACCATGTGGCAGTGGTTGCAGCAGCTGTAGCTCCTACCCTGTGATGGAGGGTAAGCAGCAGAGACTGAGGCGGGTAAGGTGGGGTAGGCATGGGCAGCAGCTGCAGCTCTAACCCCAAGCCCAGTTTGGGGCTGGAGTTGGAGCTAAAGCAGCTGCCTGTGCCCTGTACCCCACCTTTTTCCCCCTACCCCTAATGGCCTATTCTCTGATCCAAGATGTCTTCCCCCCCTCGCACCCCCCCCATGTTGAAGGGGGGGTGGAGAGAACCTGGTCTTATATTTGAGTAAATATGGTTTCCAAATCATTGTCCATTTGAAGTGTCCTTGTCATTCTGTCAATGTCAGTAAACATCAGACTAAAGGTGAAATTTGAAAGCCTTAAAATTGATTTATATTTAAAGAAGAAAAACCCAACTTATAAATTATTCAAGGCACAGTATAAAATTCAAATTTTAAGGTTTTCTGCCTCCCTAACACTAAATTTACAAAGTAGTTTTTCAAGTTAATTTTAGAGGTGCACCAATACATTGGTCCGATATCGGATCGGAACAGATTATAAAGAAAATTGACTGTATTAGAAATCGGCCTGATGTGGCTGATTTAATTTGGCTAATAAATGCCCGTGCATGTGTGCAGCCACAGTGTGGCATGTAGGTAGCAAGGAGCACAGCCTGGCAGCTTGGAGAGCTGCGTGCATCTGGTAAGTTGGTTGTGGTGGAAGGGAAGGGGGAAGAGAATGGGTGTGGCGGGCAGATAAAGGCCCCCTGTGGTGTGGGAGGGGGTGGGGCCAGGGCAGGTGCTATTTAGCCAGGGCATGGGACAGCCACAGCTCATCCAGGGGCCACAGGGCCAGGGGATGGCAGCTCCTGCCGCTGCATGCACCCCAGGAGGGCATGGGGTAGGGGACATGTGCCTGGGATCCAGTGGGGG